CGCATTCTCATATTTTTACGGTGAATTGTGGTCGAATAAACAGCCGGCCTGGGATCATGGCTTCGCCGACTTCCTGGGATACGTGAGCCGGCTTCAATTCAGTCAACAAGCAGGTCCTCTGAAGACGGATATCGCTGTCTACAACAAGCAGTCTGCCACGGACCCTAGCTTCCGCTGGCACGCAGGAAATATGGCTCGGCTGATTGATGCAGGTAAGCGAGGCCTCTTTGTCCGTTATCAGCTGCCCATTCACCTTTGCTGACATTTTTGTCGTAGGCTATAGTTACAACTACCTATCCCCTGAAAACTTGAACCTTGAACAAGCATATGTCCGGAACATGACCCTTGGACCGGACAGCCCAGCTTACAAGGCCCTACTTATTTACGGCACGTCAAATGTAACATACGAGTCCATCAGTAAGATTCGACAATTCGCAGAGGCGGGATTACCGGTCATCTTAGTTGGCGGAGATCCGCCCCAATACGCCACTGCTAGCGCTCCTAGTCACGCAATCTTCATAGAGGCTATATCTGAGCTGAAACACACCAAGAACGTCTTTGCGGTCTCTGAAGGCGAACTGATTGGAAGGTTAGCTTCTCTCAACTTGGATCCTCGAATTCGAGTACAAACCAACAGCACCTGGTACACGACCTGGCGTGAGTCAGTCAGGGAAGATGTACAGTTCGCATTCGTCTATAATGACGGTGAGGCCAGCACTGGCCACCTTGTGGTGTCCAGCGAAAAAACCCCACATCTTCTTGACATGTGGACTGGGCTTTGTAAGCCGGTACTTGAGTACCATCAGGCTAACGGCAAAACCATCATTCCTCTCGCGCTTGAGGCAAATCAGACTGCTTTGATCGCTCTTAGCGGGCCTTCCGTTCAGTGGTTACGTGCACCGGCGATTCACGCCATTCAGGCCCCTTCCACGATCCAAGGGTACGAGTTTGGAAGAAACTCCGCCGACTCCCTTAAGCTTCATGTCGCCGCTGGTCCGATTGACCGGCCCCTTGTCCTTTCCGATGGCCGAAACTACACCTTCCCACCTGGAGAGAGAGTAGCAAAGAGTTTCGTCCTCGGCAACTGGTCCCTCACGGCGGAGCACTGGGCCTCCCCAGCCAACTTGTCTGATGCCTCCCAAATTGCTTACAAGTTTAACACCACCCACCACTTGGAAGCCCTCGTCCTATGGACTCAGATACCAAGCCTCACGAATGCGTCTGGACTGGGGTATTACAGTACCAGCTTCGATTGGCCACCCCATACAGGCTCGGCAGACGGCGCATATATCCTGCTCCCTAAGGTCCTGCATACTCTTCGCGTGAAGGTCAACGGCCACCAAATACCACCACCCGACTACAATGCACCCAAGCTAGATATCGGCTCTTATTTGCAGAAGGGACGAAACGAAGTCGTGATTGAGGTTCCCACCGTAATGTGGAATTATATTCGAAGCATCTTTGATCGCATCGTAATGGCAGGTTATCCACCGCTTATTAGCCTCACCAATCCCGGGCACTTGCCGGAGCTCATCGACACAGGCCTCAGTGGAATCGTGCAAGTGGTACCGTACGTGAAATGGCGTGTCAAGCTTTGAGTCGTTGAGGGGATTCTGTTGAACAATGAGGTGCAATAGTCGGCTTCTCGCCAGAAATGCACCGACCCTTCTTGCTAAGATAGATAGCAAGAGACAAAAATACTTATAACCCTTGTACCATGCTCTAAAATTTTGCGTTTGGCCGGATTGGGGTTGCTAAGCAGTTGCGGTTACTGGACCAACAAGAAATCCCGTAAGAAGTGCCTATTCTCGGAAGTCAATCAAACGAGAGGCTATAGAAGGACAGGGTACTGATAACGTCGTGGCGCGTGCGTTCCTTTCCATGCTATCGGTGAGTTTGCTGCTCAGCTTGCGAACGCGTATCTTGAACTTCCCCTCCCCGCTTTTAGGACTTTCCTCCGAGGCACCGTAGCCTGTTACCAACGTTCTCTGCTTTTTTCTAAATCTGAGACTAAAACTTCATTACCCCATGCAGCGTCTAGATGGCCTTCTATTCAGTACTAGAATTTAAAGCGAGATGGACATTGAGCCAGTCATGCCGTACCCAAAAATCACTTTGGTCCTAACAAATAAGGAGAGTCTTATCCGACATGGACCAGGGCATATCAAATGCTCTGTCCACATACGATTTCCTGAATGACATTAGTTAATGATGGGGAAGTATGAAAAGGGTCTTCAGCAGGCATCCGCAACCCGTCCAGACTCCCATAAACAAATTGGTGCCGATTTGTTGCACCCCAAACTCATAGCAAGCATGCCCCACGTAGAAAAGATTATCCCTCCCTCCCAGGAAACCGACAACACGACTCCCCACAAAGGCACTTCTTGCTCAATTGGCGCCAATAATTATCCGAATAGTCGACAGTGATTTCAGTCCCTGCCATGATGCCCCGTGAGACCACTATTATGCGCTCCATGCCCCTCCAGTAGAACCGTTGGAACTGGCTGTTCGGTCGACATGAGTGATTAATAAATCGGGTGAAATTGCCCATCTGCCCCTGATATATTTGGTATGTTCGACCACGTGAGCCACCCAGCATTACGTCTACTCCTTCTATGCCGTTTGTAATGAGACCTGTGAATTCCCCTATGACGGTTCCGCGATCGAAGTTCTATTTCTGCGTCAGTAAAGTATCAAGGAAACGGGTTCGCGATTCACGCAAAAGAGGTTAGGTAACTCACACAGCGCGCAATGACACCATTGTTCTTCCCAGTCGACGTCCGAAATATCTGAACCGGCACTGGATGATTAACACCACCAAATAGCGCTGGGAAGCACAAGCATTGATTCTTCTCAATCTCATCTGACTGTCTTGCTTTGCATACGAGACACACATCGGGATCTAGCTCTGGTACACGACGTGGATCCTGTGCCCCAAAGGCAGCAGTATCTAGCACACTCTGGTCAATGAACTGATACTGAAAACCTTGAGGAAGGTCAAGATGCGCGTATGTTGAAGCTAAAGGGACAGCTGGACCCTCAGACAAGGTTACCCACTCATGCGGGTGGCCGTGGTAGGCGATCGAGGTATCTTGCCTGATAACTTGCAGCAGGTCCCGCCATCCCGGGTGAAGAGTGTCGGCCGCTACCTCGAAGCTAGATCGCAGATGCCGTAAACGGGTGAATAATCCTTCCCCGAACTCCGTGCGATACTTGCAGAACCGATATATCCCGGTACTGGCGAATATAAGAGACGCCCAACCGCCTGTATCTTTAATTTCTTTGTAACCGCGCCAGATTGCCCTATATCTGTGTTAGTTATGCAATCGGTCAATGGGAGAGGCGAAAGCAGTACATTCGATTACGAAGATCCTTTTCCTTCCAATTGAGAACCACGCAAGCCTCCTTCAGAGCCATCATTCGCACATCTGTCATTGATAGCTGAGGCTTCTCTAGTCGGATAACGGCAACGCGTGCTTCGAAACATTCTACCCAGTATGCTTGGACGATCATTTCCAGAGCACGGGAGGATTGACTTTGGTTGTAGTATTTCAAGCATAGGGTGTTGATCTCGCGAAAGACCTTCTCATGTTAGTCAAGTCCATGTCAACGCTATCGGGACGGTTACCTCGAGACTGACGCCTGTTCGGATGTCCGTAGTGGATTGTATGATCTGATTCTGTTAGTGAATGAATCGTACTTCCTTTCATAGGGGAATCATACCGAAGGCAGACGACTCAGCTTTACAGGCGAATGTAACTGTCGCCATATCCCTGCTATAAGCTTATCGGCCGAGGTGGGTTCCAGCACAGGCAAGGAGTACTCCTGCCGTGGGTTCTTTCGTTGCGGAAAGCGGGTGTCACTGTGGACCTGTCGCACAGAAGGCTTGGATCCACTGGAATCGGCAGCAGCTTCCGACGATAAGCTTTCGTACTCAGCATCACTTAATTCATTTGGCTGAATGGCGGTTGCCTTTGCTAGTCGAAGTGCGCTTACGGTCTTGCGCCGCTTGTTGGGATGGCTCTGGGCGTTCTCATTTTCACGGCATCCGTTGGAGTCAATGGTTGTAGTACCATATTCTGTGCTGATCTGTAAAACCTGTTACTCGTAATATTCTACTATTGGCCGCCAGTAAACCTACCCTAGAGTCAGGCGTTGAGACCGGAGTGGGTGGCAACGGCACTGCCTGCCCACTTCGAAGATCAATATATCCCTAGGCAAAGTCAGGCAAGGTCGGAATCGTGCGTGAAAGAACCAATATTTACCAGAATGAACCCGCTTTCTGGCCCTGACGTCGTCTCCTCATTGACTAAGGAAGCTTCGATCTTGAGGTAGAGCTGCGATCCGCCATCTTCTTTTGAGCCACCGTCCTTACTTGCACTCTTCTGCTTTCTATTCACACTCTGTCGCACAGCCTGTACGGCCGAGTGAAGATGCGCCGGAAAGGTTGGGTTCTGAAGAATGCTCGACAACTGCGAGACAAGGGGTAGTGCTATAGAGTCCATTATACCGCAAGAATGGCCTATTACTGAAAATGTTGAGAGCATACTATTATGAAGAGGGTCTTTACTCGGCTATCGGCTACCTCTGGGATGCCAAGAAGGGCAGATTCTGCTCGGGCAGAATTGCTGACTAATTTTATCTCATCAATCAACCCAGTCAACTATCCAAGATCGTTCTTTGCTCTAGCAAGTCAGGCAGGCCAATATTATATATATAGAATGCTTTTCAAAGAGAGTAGGTAACAATAGAATCAGGTCTTGCTCTCTCCGAGGCTGCGAGCAGTATGTTGTGTTGACGCAACATTCAAGGGCAGTTGACCGTCCACCCCAACATAAGAACTTTCCATTTCGGCCCTACAAAATCGGCTAGGTGGGTTGGGATATGTGTAGAAGCGAAAGGGTCTTAGGTCTGGTACAGGCCCAATTATTGTTAGTATAAGTAAGAGATACTCTCTTCTTACCGTCCCCTTTCTATACATGACACACATTCAAACCATCATGCCCGACACCAAGTACCTAAGTAGGCAGAGTCCAAATTCTTACTCGTATGACGACCGGACAGGATGGAGACGCTTTCGTGTCTTGAATCCATGCAGAGGCATGTATTACGATGTCTGTCGGCGACTACCCTACTACTGGAGTGATATTCGAGATGCGCTCACTTATCGAACCATTGCAAGTACCATTCGCATATACTTCATCAAGTAGGTCCTAGGTCCCTGAATGCACCACTTTGGTATTGTTCTCTCTGACGTATTCAGTATTCTCCCTGCCATCGCCTACACATTGGATATGTATCGCCGGACCGGAGAGTTCTACGGTATTAATGAAGCGCTATTTTCCTCGGCCCTCGCAGCTATAGTGTTCAGCGTCCTAGGCGCACAACCACTTACTATTGTCGGTATCACTGGACTCATATCGCTGTTCAACTACACCATATATGATATTGTAGTCATATACGAGCCTGCCATATACGCTAACTTCATGTGCTGGACTGCTATCTGGGCGGCGATCTTTCATTGGATTGTTGCTGTGTGTAACCTCTGCGACTATATGCGCTATGTGACTGACTTTTCATCTGAGTCATTTGGTGCATATGTTGGGATTATCTATTGCAGTAAGTCTGACAAAGATTATTTTCTTGCAGGGATTCGTACTAAGTTGAGCAGTAAAGGGCGTTGAAGAGCTCGTCAACGAGTTCACCGTCTACGGGCCAACCGCAGGCTTCATGAGTTGCATGATTGCCATTCTGTACTTCTTTACAATATACGGACTTGAGTTGCTAGGCTCAAGCACAATCTGCCGACCATGGTTTCGTGGATTACTGGCTGATTATGCTTATGTGGTAAGATTTACCCCTTATCCACTTCTGATGACCTTACACTCACTCTCAACCAGATTGGAACCATCTTCTGGGTAGGATTCGCACATATCCCCGGCAACCTCAAGGAGACCGGTATTTCATTCGTGCCCATAACTCGAGCATTTTATCCGACACAACCACGTGGTTGGCTGGTTCACTTCTGGGAATTGGAGACAAAATGGGTCTTTGCAGCCCTACCTTTCGGATTCTTGGTCATGCTGCTCTTCTATTATGACCATGTAAGTGGTTCAATCCCCAGTCGACAAGACTGGCACTTTACCTTCGTTGACATACTAACACCGAACAGAACGTCAGCAGCCTCGGTGCTCAAGGCAGACAATACCCCCTGAAAAAGCCAGCCGGGTTCCACTGGGACTTCTTTCTCCTCGGATGCACCACCTTCATCGCCGGAATCACCGGCATTCCAATGCCCAACGGCCTCGTCCCACAGGTATAACCACCCAATTCACTTTTCCCCCACGCACATAAACTCCTTACTAAACAACCTACCAATGCAGGCCCCCGTCCACACCACCTCTCTAACCGTCACCGAAACAACCCTCCACATCATCCCCACCTCGAACCCAGACGACCCCGAATGCACCGAACTCCGCCACCCCATCACTACCCCCACAGCCGTGATCGAGCAACGCATCTCCCACTTCCTCATGGGCCTGGCCATAATCGGCACAATGACCGGTCCCCTCCTGATAGTCCTACACACCATGCCCGCTGCCGTCTTCGCAGGTGTCTTCTTCATAGTAGGATGGGGATCCATTGAATCGAACGGTATCCTGCATAAGATTATCTTTCTACTTCGGGAGGATCGGTTCATCCCGCGGAATGAGAAATTACTCCAAGTTCCGAAGCGGAAGATTGTTCTTTACGTGATGTGCCAGGTTGTGGGAGTCGCGGCATGCGTGGCTATCTCTCAAACTATTGCGGCCATAGGGTTCCCAATTCTGATTATAGGTTTGATTCCATTCCGGGTGTGGGTTATGCCGAGGTGGTTCGGGGCGGAGGAGTTGGGGTTTTTGGATGGGTTGACGGCGGATGGGGAGGCGGTTTTGTGTAGTTTGGGGGGTCCGCCTAGGTTTCCTGGGGAGGTGGGGAGGGGGTTTTAGGGCGAGAGGAAGAATAATGGAGGGCGAGGAGGAGTTGCTTCGCTAGAGGAGTGGGAAATAATTGAAAGCTAATATAGCGATGGCCAAGAGAGAAGGTGAATATTTCCAAATCGTATTCTAGAGGTTCTAGCAGAGTGGTAAACTGAGACGTATGGTTGTTATCGGGAGACTTCTGCTTGATACCAATACTTACTTCTATTTGAGGCCAACAGTCTGACTTTCTGTCTCACACCTACTCTCTGCCAAATAGGATCTGAGAGCATGTTGCCAATAAGTTAGGAACATACTGGATTACTGCCCCAGCCTTCTTCTCAAACCGCCCTCCGCCAATACGAAGATTAGTTTAAGGCTCCGGGGAAAGTGTTGTGATTACACATCTCGAGTCTCAGTATCACAACCTTGGCTTAAGGGGAGTGGAGTTTACCACTGCTATTAATCTGTGCTACTACGCCTCGTCAGCTGATAATATATCTAGATCTGGTACATTAGCTGAATACAACAATATAGCGCTCAATCAACAGAGTCTCTTCCCGTGTCCGGCGGCCAGATGCCGCAACGCATGGATACAGTGATTGATTTCTGGTGACTTCGGCGTGTGATCATTCATGCAGGTTGCTGAATTGCCTAGCCTGATAACACTTTGGCATACTAACAACAATAAACCCCAAGGATATGCTATCTCCATTGGTGTATGTACACAATATCTAGTCATATCATACAAGCCTGCTCACCTCAATATCAGTTTCAATGCGGACCGCGCCGAGTGGGATATCCATGTTCCGGCGATGCCCGTACTCACTCGGGCTGACTTGAACATCTGAAACGAGCTTGTCGACACTGCTGCAGCCTGCATGTCCCTTTTGCCACGAAACAGTGTCTTTCCGCTCACCGAGATGCGAGCCCATATGGCTAGGGGACTTTCTACTCCCTTGATTGCTACCCAAGCGAACCTTTGAATCTGTAGTATTCCGCAGTGCCTTCGCCAAGGCAATACAGTTAGGCACGCTAATGGAGATAATGGAGATTGATCCCTCCAGTACGGACCAATAGCAGTATTTGACAAAGAGCCAGGTGAAGTCCTGGCTCATGATGGGTATGACTTGGACGACAGCGACGAGACGGCCAAGGGATAGCACGACGACCGAGTAAGCCATCATGAAGGCAGTCAGGAGGTATACGCGTCGCTTTAGACTGACTTGCAGACCCCAGATCATGGGGATTGGTAGGCACAAGATGTACAGGTCGATCGTAGACGAAAGAGCAGCCGTTGAGATATACCATTGGAATTGGGCGATGCATGTTCCTGGTAATGTAGTGTTCCAGACCTTCGGGATGGGGTGGCATTCAAGAATGGTAGAGATCCATGCTGCTAAGAGCCATCCAGATGTGAGCCCACCCACGATCCAGAGGTGTATGCGAAAGGCGCGGTTGTTGGATCGAAATACGCGTGCGTAGAAAAACAAGGCCGAAATCTTTGGCACACAGACTGAGCCGTCGAAGAAAAACGTTGCCACGTATAGGTAGCGGGCGCCGGTCGTGATATATTCTGGGTCTATTGCGGCAACTACATCCATATGATAGCCGAGACCGATTTGCCTCCATGCCAGCACGAGGGAGAGAACGATTAACTCGAGCGGCTGGGTCAAATGACAATGCAGTCAGAAACGTATGTTACTTTGTCGGTGTATAGAAGCAGGCATACCAACGCGAGGATGGCGAAGAAGTCATCCCACCACCAGTCTTGATGGGCAACAAATTTACTGATAATCCGAAGCGTTGTGAATACCGTGATGAGGACAATAAGAAGAATGGTTGTAATGAAAATCCCTTCTCCGCAGTCGGGAGTACCATTGGGGATGTCTAGCGCCATGAGGGACACAGTCAAAGGAACTTAAGGCGAATACTGTGACCTTTGCAACCAGGAAAAGCAAGAACAAAGGAGGACGCCGTATGGGAATTGGTAAATAACATACGACTGTAGGACCTATCCGTGTCATCAATGACGGGAGCGGAGCGAACGAAGTTAGTGGCGGCTCAGCCTTGTGCCCGCTGTCAGTTTTCAATGTCAGCGTCAGGGCATCCTGGCCTCGTTGGGAATCCAACATGCTGACGGCAGGCCGCATTCAATCGCAAGGCAATCAAGCCAAGAAAAGAGGGGAAGAAAGAAAACTTGACGCTAAGGGGCTGAGTGAAGAGGCCCTAAGGCATCAAGTAAGCACTAAAAGAACAGGGATCAATAGGACTCAGAGTAGTGTTTGTCAAGCTTTACGACGATCCCAATGGTTAACCCTTGTTTGTACTGCATGTCACAACGCCCCCCGCCCCTTTGTCTCCAATAGCTCGCGTTCACTTCTGAGGGGGCGGTGCTCTTTAAAAGGGTGGCCGGAGGGGTTCATTCCCACTCTCTGTACTATCGCTGCAGTCACATCCCCCCAAAATTATTCTCTCCTCTTTCTCGTCGACAATATACCGCAAATATGGCCTGGTCACAAGTGTCAGCCCACCGCTGGGAGCGTCCCGGAGATGGCCTTGAGAACTATTTTGCCTTGATCGCATCTCTTTCTGCCGCTGCCTGCAATGGCAGGCGTCATTACACCATTTTCACCAAACTCCAACTTGAGTTGGACATTCCGGTGACTGAGGTGGAGGCATCCTTGAAGAAGGCCTGGACGCAGCTGCGGTACGAACAGCCCCAGATAGCCACAGTCCACAACGGCACAACCAAAGTCTATGAGGTGCCCGACGAGACAGCCTTGCAGGCTTGGGTTACATCGACCGTGATCACGTCTGCAGCGGCCAACGCAGAGGACTTGTACGCCACTATCACGCCTATTGCGCAGGCTACTCTGTACTACCTGCCTGCCTCCTCCCAATTGGTCCTACGTACCCCACATGAAACGATCGATGGCATTGGAGTCATTCGGTTGTTGGACCGTCTGCTAAGCATCCTAGTGTCTCCACCCACGGAGAATATCACGTTTGGCGATGAACCCTCCCGATTAGCGCCTACCCTTCGTGAAATCCTCGGGGTGGCTGAGCAACCGACCCCTGAGGAGTTGGAAAGAGTAATGGCGCTCTATAAGCCTTACATGGACTACGCTCCTGGAATCGGGCCTGTCTCTAACCTCGGCAATCGTCCGGCCGGCCAGTCACAACATGCGAGGCTGGATATACCCACGCGTACTACCGAGGCCATCATCCAGGCCTGCAAAGCGAAAGGCATCACTGTTACTTCCGCGGTCCACGCAGCCTACATTCAGACGATTAAGAAGCATGCCGATCCTGACCATCCATCGTGCCATTATGTCAATACTGCGCAGTTCAATCTCCGCCCCTACCTGCCCAAACATGGGGCGCAGTACACTGCCTCGCTTGGTTACACCTTGTTTCCGGTGCACCTGGAGTCTCCAAACTCATTCGACCAAACGGCGCAAGCTCTTAACCGCTTTTACCGGACGACGTTCGCCAATGATCCCAGTAAGCTGCCTTTGGTGCCGCATATGACGGACATTCTGTTTGCTGTCACCCAAAGTCCGGAGTATCAGAAGGGTCCAGTCCCTAGAGACGCAATTCCTAGCAGCCTGGGAATAATTGAGAAATACATGCAGCGGTCCTACGGAACCAACAGATTGATCATTCGGGATTTCATGCTCGGAGTCGACGTTGTAATGGGCATGAATATGTTGCTTATGTCCACCTTCCGGGACCAATTGCAGCTCGTGTACAGCTTCAATGACGCGTACCACGAACCCGAGCATATCATGCAGTATCTGCAGGGAATTGTGGAAGTCCTTACGGAGGAACTATTGGCAAACTGAGGCAGACAAAGCGAGTCCCCCTCTTACACTTGTCACATGCAGATCATATTAGTCTATCAATAGGAAATGGCAGAAATTATCGGTCCTTCTTGAAGCGTCCGCCCCAAACAACTGCGTGTACAGCATACAGTCTTGTTTGCCCAACCGAGTAAGCAAAGTGACGGTCAAAATATGTACCTCACAGAATAGCCTTGTTACCATCGTCTGACTCTGCATCTTTTGTTGGCACACTCCTTCCTATTAAAGTAAAGATGTGCAGATTACTGTCTACTGGCGTGACCACGGACTCACACAGTAGGCTTCCAAACGATACACTACCCTCCATTTGCCTTCCATTGAAGGATGCATGATATGCACCCCTCAGTAGATTCCTGTAGTAAACATATGCGTGCAAGAAACCCACTCGGATGCACCGTTACTCGTAGTTCAAAGGTTTGATTAAATTAAGGCTGTAGTTCTCACGCCCCATCCCGTCGCGCTTTGTCGGCGAGATTGCCTTGAGTGAGGGCACATTCATGACTACCAGTGTCTCCGATCTATATTTAGTAGTGTCCAAGTGTAAGAGGATGCTTACACAAGGTTGGGATCAAGAATAGTTGGAGAGTATGAGAACGCGCAGGAACTGACAACACATTGCAGTCATATTAGATTTTTCTTTTTAAAGAAAAAAGAGAGAGAGAGAGAGAGAGAGAGAGAGGGAAGGAGAAGGAAATAGGGAGAGGAGAAAGGAAAAGAAAATCTCCCCACGAACTTCCTAAAACATCCGAGTAATGTTTGATTTCGGTATTGTTTGATCGTAAATGACATGCAGAATTCATCACATGCCAAAGCTCATTAACATCACAGCACGCTAAGTAATTCCTTAACCCCGAAGTAAGACTGGCAGATCACGTAATCATGTAGATCTTCCTCCGACGGCTGCATCCGCGCGCCCTATCGCTAGCAATACATTTGTTTCTATCTCAACATATCGAGCTAAGAAAAGCTGTTCTAAAACATGGTAGTACCAGAGTACTTGAACTATAGCTACATCACCTTTCAGTCTTCTGAACTAGTTCAGTCTTCGTCACCTATACAGGGAAAGTACGTTGGTAGATGGGATGGATGACAGGTAGGGGACAGCCAGGAAGGAACCCAAGCTAGAGATCATGAAACAGGAGTTAGGATAAGACGGTAGCTGCTCAAAATGCATGACATACAGTGGGGGCTGAAGAAGGAGGAGGCGGGCGCGGGTGCTACCGCGTCTAGACCATACTAGAATCTCATGTTCTGTCGCACTACTGCCGGTGGTCTAAAGCAGTAATTGATTACCGCATTTCGCACTTCACACTCCGTATTGGTATGTATGCAGTACTGAGCTGATTGCGCCACCCCAGTGGATCTCCAGATTTTCAGAAAGCACCCACTCAGTCTCATTTTACAATCTACAGCTAGGTCCCTTGTACTTACAACTCGGCTAGATGGTCCACAGTGGGCAGGCCACTTCTAGCTCCGAGCCGCCTTCTCCGGATGTCCCAGACATCAATGCTGAGCCTCCTAGACGTAGTGCTGCACTGTTAAATTGTTATCCTTGCCTTGCGAATCGGAGTAAAGGTGATGTATGTGTACCTCAAGCCTAATGTGCCTAGGAACCACCCCGGAAGTGTGGTCCTTACAGTAGGATTTAATCTCCTTAAGCCTCCCTTCGAAAGCGGCATATAGTGTGCAGAGCGTCACAGAAACTTGACTATAACTATGCAATCACCAGACAACGAGACAGTTCCAGGACTGCCAGTTGCCCCTGCCACTGCGCGGCAAACAGGATTGCCTATAGCCGTCGTCGGTATTGGTAAGTGTCGACCTTATTACTTTGTCCATACAGTCCGGCATTTGAATGAGACTATTCATTAGAATTGTCTAGGCTGCCGGCTTCCCGGCAATATTTCCAGTCCCGCACAGCTCTGGGATTTCTTGAGAGAAGGCCGCTCTGCTGCAGGTGAGGTACCCAAGGATCGCTTCAACATCTTCGGCTATAGGGGCGGCAAGGATGAGCCGGGCACGACTCTCCCGTTAGGCGGATACTTTCTCCAGGATGACATCCGCAACTTCGACAACCGGTTCTTCGGCATCAATAATCGAGAAGCAGCTGTTATGGACCCTCAACAGAGGAGGGTGCTAGAGGTAGTATTCGAGACCTTTGAGAGCGCCGGCGTAACCCTCGATGAAGTATCCGGTGCTAATGTGGGGGTTTATAGTGCGTTGCCTGCGAAATTTAATGAACTGGGCTACGAGAGAATCCGCTAACAATACGAACAGTGGCATCATTCACACCAGATTACATCGCCATGCAGACGAAAGACCCAGAGAACTTGACGCGGTACAGTAACCTGGGCATGGGCGCCACTATTCTCGGAAACCGCATCAGTCATGCCTTCAACCTGAAAGGGCCGAGTTGTACGGTAGACACAGCTTGCTCGTCCTCTTTCTACGCACTTCACCTTGCTTGCAACGCATTACAGAATGGAGAGTGTGATTCAGCCATCGTGGCGGGTGTCAACCTAATTCAGTCCCCGGAGTTACATGCGGCAGTGTCCCAGGGTGGGTTCCTATCGCCAACATCTTTTTGCCATACCTTTGATACTTCCGCTGATGGGTGAGTCCGATTCCCCGACCCAAACATTACCGGTCACTCATGCCTATGACTAACACGGCACAAAAACGCCAAGATACGCACGAGCAGACGGTGTAAATTCTATATTCATCAAACGACTAGATGACGCCATCCGCAATCAGGATGTTATTCGGTCGATCATTCGTGGCACTGCGGTGAACAGTAATGGCCGCACACCAGGTGTAGCACAGCCAAGCATCGACGGCCAGGTGGCCGTCATTTGCAAGGCATATGCCCGAGCTGGGCTGGATCCCGCAGAGACAGCGTACGTGGAGTGCCATGGCACTGGCACCCAAGTCGGCGACCCCATGGAGGTAGAAGCCCTATCGCGCGTCTTCCGCAAAGAGCAACGGACTTACGCAACATTGATTGGCTCAGTCAAGCCAAACCTCGGCCACGGTGAGGCGTCTAGCGGGTTGTCCAGTCTCATCAAAGCTACCCTTGCCTTGGAGCATGGGCAGATTCCAGCGACCATTAGCGTCAAGAATATTAACCCCAAGATCAAGACTGAGGAATGGGGCGTCGACGTCGTTACCCGCATAACCCCTTTCCCAGTATCCACCCGCCGTGTGCCAAGCCGCATCAGTGTCAACTCGTTTGGTTATGGGGGCGCGAATGCCCACGGCATCATAGAGGAACCAGACCATAGACAAAATCAAGTCTCAATAAGAGATGGGGGAACATCTGCGGAAAGTTTTAAGCAGTTTCGATCATCACAGCTGCCGTATCTACTTCCCTTCTCTGCAAACTGCCCTCAATCCCTCGAGGGCCGAGTGGAACGGCTATCCAAATCGGATCTTTCGTGCGTCTCAGTCAGTGACCTTGCTTATACCCTAGGACAGAGAAGATCTCTGTTTGCCTGCCGTGGCTATGTGATTGCCCGACAAGATACCTTGACACAAGATATCACAGTCGCAAACCTGCAACTTCCTACTTCCAACCTTGAGTTAGGTAGTAGAAAGATAGCATTCGTATTCACCGGTCAGGGCGCCCAGTGGCAAGGCATGGCTCGTCAGCTGTTACATTACCCAACGTTTGCCAATACAATTCGACAGCTCGACGACGAACTGAGGTCTCTTTCACGCGCCCCTGATTGGAGGATTTATGATGTCCTAATGGACGAGTCAGACAGCTGCCCCATCGACCAGGCAGTGTTTGCACAGCCGATCACCACCGCTGTTCAGATTGGCTTGGTGGCGCTGCTGCGATCTTGGTCAATCCTTGCTGAGGGAGCAATCGGACACTCCTCTGGTGAGATTGGAGCCGCATATGTAGCTGGTCTACTATCTGCGCGCGAGGCAATCGTTCTTGCATATTACAGGGGTTACGCAGTTACAAGGCAAGCATCAGCCGCAGGCGCCATGGCAGCCGTTGGTCTGAGCTCGGATATGGCTCTGGAAATGATCACCAAGCTAGACCTCACCGACAGTGTTAAGATGGCGTGTATCAATTCGTCATCTAGTGTCACCATCAGTGGCGACCGCGGGGGAGTTGATACTCTGGTTACCGCTGTTCAGGCAAAAGGTAGTTTTGCTCGGATACTGAATACTGATGGGAAAGCGTACCATTCTCACCACATGGTCAGCGTGGGTGAACTCTACCAAAACCTCCTCGATGAAGCTGCTATTTTTGCCAAAGAAATGATCCCTGAAACTGAAAGTTCCCCAAAAATGTACTCGACGGCTATCTGTAAACCCTTGGAGCGCCAAACCGCTCGCACTACGTGGTACTGGAGATTTAACCTAGAGTCCCCTGTGAGGTTCTCCGAAGGTCTGAAGGGGCTGTCTGAGTTGATAGATCCCGATTTGTGGCTCGAAATTGGACCGCACACGGCCCTGAAACTCCCCATCACGCAAACGCTCGGACAGTTGACACCTTACCACGGCACATTAGAGCGAGGTCAAGATGGATCAGTAACACTACTCAGCTTCCTCGGATACCTTTTCGTTCATGGCTTCAGTCTGGACTTCACAAAGCTACTGCGCAGTTACCCCGACGGATCTCTAGCTAGATTCATCTACGATCTCCCAACTTACGCCTGGCACTATGAGGAACCCGTCTGGAATGAATCAAGAACAAGCCGGGAGAGCCGGTATCGCCAGAATCCTAGGCACGAATTGCTCGGGACAGAAGTGCCTGGAGGAAGCCCGGCATCCTTTGCGTGGCGCAACCTATTGCACCTCGGTCATGTACCTTGGCTCCGGGACCACCGACTGGGAGATACCGCCGTCTTCCCCGCCGCAGGATATATTGCCATGGCGGTAGAGGCACTGATACAAAAAGCTTTGCCCTCAGGCGCGGACCTAATTAGCAAATGCGTCATCCTTCGGCAAGTAGCCTTGCTAAAAGCCCTTTCTTTAAAAGATGAGGACTGTATTGAACTATTTACCGAGCTTCATCCGCTCTCGATTTCCAACGTTCGCGATTCGCAACACTGGTGGGAATTCCAAATTTTCACCGTGTTGGACCGAAATACCTACACCCTTCACGCCAAGGGAATGATCCGGTTGGATTGCAACCCCGATGACACTTCACACGCAGCCCCATCCCCTGATTGCCGACTGGCTGTCCGAACTAAACAGGTTTGGTATGACATTATTGCTCGAGGCGGCCTCAAGTATGGTACGGCGTTCCAACGCATAAAAGAGGTCTATACTCCAGAAAGCAAAAAAATCTTATATGCCGAAGCTCCAACCGAGTCATTTGCCCCCGAAATCCCCACCAGCGCTCAGTCGTATCCTAGATACTTCCTGCACCCGACACTACTGGACACTGTTCTTCAACTTGCCCTCATTGCATGCAATGGTGGCTCCCTTGATGGGCTTGTGGCCCGGGTCCCGACTCTGCTCGGGGAGGTCAGCATGAGCTTGGCCCCATATGCTCCAGACGAGGCTGGGATCATTCGTGCCAAGGCTTCGGTAGTCGGACTTAAAATGCACAGGGCAACCACATACTTGTTCAATCAGAAGAAACAGCCCGTGGTACAGTTTAAGGATATTGAAATGACCGCCTTCAGCGCAAATGAACGCATGGAGGATGTCCGCCATCTTATGGGACGCGTGCACTGGAAGCCCGACATAACACAGATATCCGAAGATTCCGTATTTTCTTCTGGTCTCGCTCATGTGCTCTCTATGACTGATCTCGGAGCTTTTGGGTCCCGCTCCTGGCTGCTAGCTGCCCTGGACATGATTGTCCACAAGAAGCCTGATTCCAGGATTCTGTGCCTCACAACCGACCTGTCTTTTGTAACCGTGGCTTGCTTGGAGGCCCTGGAGACCCCCGTAGTATACCGACGTTTTGAGACATTTTCATTGGGTAGAATAGGATCCAATGGAGCGCTGGAGGTTGCGGAAATCCGCAAGTATGCAGTGCCTTTAGGCCTTCGCTCTATGGCTTACCGGAAGGCCACCTCGGATGACCAGTACAACGTGTGCATTCTGGGACAGGGAAGTGACCACGCAGTGTTGGGCCACCTGAAGAAGCATACCAACGACTGCACCTTTTTTCTGGGTCCTTGCACACAATTTTCGGCCCCAGTGCCCTCATCGCACTTGCAACTGACGGATCGCGATCACGGTGTATACGTTCTACGTCCCAATCCCAACTTCACCCCACAATTCAACCATGTTGTTCTGATCGGGGCTTCATCTTCGGACGCGGAGCTAGCTAGTCATTTGAGCAAAGAGTTGGACAGGCCGGTGCAGGCATTGACGCTACGCGATATTCTCTCCTCACCCATTCCGCCCCAAACCTTGGTCGTCTCGATGATAGAAATGCACAAATCCCTGCTGTCAGACCCAACGGCAGAGGAGTATGATGCATTCAAGGAATTAATCGAGCATGCTGCCCATATCTTCTGGATTAGCGGAAGTGGTGTTTACAACGGATTTGATCCCACACGGTCTATCTTTACCGGTCTGGCTCGGGCTCTCATCGTCGAGCAGCCCTCTACCAGGATCTTCTCTCTGGAAATTGACCCAGCAACTGAAACGTCAGTGGTTTTCCGATATGTCCGCCAAATTTTGCAGCAGAAGAATGAAGTAGACTTTGAGTACATTCGCGACGGCTCGCAGCTCCTGATCAGCCGCGTTGTGCCCGACGAGCGATTGAACCGTGAATTCAGGAGACGACAAAACAGCATTCCCATTCCCAAGCCACTAGCTCAGGCTGACAACGCCTATTTGTTAGTTCCGGAGCCAGGCCAACTAAACTCAGCAAAGTTTGTGCAACGGCCATTATCATCCACGCTGCCAGCCGACCATGTTCTTGTTAAGGTTGTATGTGTGGGTCTCAATGCCAAAGATGTTTATGTGATGGCCGGTCGAGTGTCGACGAAAAATGCCACCTGCAGTTCTGAGTTCACTGGGCAAATTGTGGGGTTGGGTGCCGACGTGCAATCATTCGCGGTCGGCGATCGAGTGGCAGTCATGCATAACGGTCACTTTGGCACCTACGAGCCGGTTCCTTGGTGGAGCTGTATCAGGCTAGAGGATAACGAAGACTTGGTCATCATGGCGGGCGTTCTCGTTGTGTTTTTCACGGCCGTGTACGCGCTCGAATACCGCGCACGTCTCCAGCCCGCTGAGTCGATTCTCATTCACTCTGCTGCTGGTGCTGTCGGCATTGCAACCATCCAACTCGCTCGGCATCTTGGGGTGGGCGAGATTTACGCTACCGTGGGCAATGAGGAAAAGAAGCGGTATCTGGTAGAGCAATTCGGGCTCCGTTCCGAGAACATCTTTTCCTCGCGTGATACCACGTTCGTGGAGAAGGTTAAAGTCCAAACTAGAGGCCGCGGTATCGATGTCATTCTGAATTCCTTGGTAGGAGACCTCCTCCACGAAAGCTGGAACTGCCTAGCCGACTGGGGGCGCTTTGTCGAGATTGGTAAACGCGATATTCTTGACTGCGGTAAGCTCAACATGACCACGTTTGCGCGCGGAACTACTTTCACGTCATTCGACCTGAACATGCTGAACGAGCCCGACACGCCCATAGCGGCTCGCCACTTGAAGGGTACAATCCTTGCGCGTGTTTTGCAGCTGGTCCGCGCAGGACACGTTCGGCCCGTTCAGCCCTTGGCCGTCTTCCCCGTCTCAGAACTGAGTGCAGCCTGCAACCACTTCAACAACGCCAAGCGGATGGGTAAAATCGTAATTTCCTTTGAAGATAAGACGCAGATCGTTCCCACGGTTCCTGAGCTCTTCAGCACCGCTCTCAACCCAAAAAAATCTTACCTAATGGTCGGCTGTCTCGGCGGCCTCGGTCGAAGTCTATCACGGTGGATGATGAGCCGGGGAGCCCGTCGCTTCGTATTCCTCGGCCGCACGGGTTTAGCCAAACCAGCTGCCAGGCAAATTGTCCAGGAGCTGGAAGAGGCTGGGGCCCGTTGTACCGTCGTAACCGGCGACGTCATTGTGTACGAGGACGTCGAGCGCGCAGTAGCGGCAGCAGTTGCTGATGCGCCTCTAGGGGGGGTGATTCAGGCCGCTATGGGCCTCCACGAAGCCATCTTTAAGCACATGCCTCGCCAGCACTGGCTCACAGGCACGCAAGCCAAGGTGCGCGGAACATGGAATCTTCACCAAGCCCTGGGCAAACTCAAGTGCGAGTCCGCTCTGGATTTCTTCCTTCTGACCAGCTCGGTCGCTGGGCAGATTGGCACAGCCACTGAAGGCAACTATTGCGCTGCAAACCACTTCCTGGACGTGTTTGCTCGCTATCGCCGGAGTCTGGGGCTGCGCGCTATCTCCCTCGGATTGGGCGCTATATCCGAGGTCGGATACCTCCACGAGCACAGCGAAATCGGCGAGCTCCTCCTTCGCAAGGGCATCCGCCCACTCCCTGAGAATGAAGTCCTCCAAGTCATCGACTTTGCCCTCTCGTCCGAGATCGATCAAGAGAAAACCGTCCCTCGGGATCGCCTCGCACAATGCCACATTCTAACTGGTATCGAAGACACCGGACTTCAAGACCACCGCAAGCAAGGCTTTACAGGTTTCTGGCACAATCTAGACAACACTCGCTTCTCGGTACTCATCAACGCCCTGCAACGCCAGACATCCCAGTCGGAAGGCGGAATTAACACCCCTGCTTCGGTAATTCAAACTGTACTGGCGTCAGGCGATGAGAAGCAACTACGCGAAGCGGTGGTTCAGGCAGTGGCGAAGAAGATGTCAAACATTATTCTATTGCCGCTACCGAAGTTGGATTTGAAGTTGCCATTGAGTGAGTATGGCATGGATAGTATGTTGTCAGCGGAGCTAAGACAGTATATATTCAATTCGATGGGTGTGGATATCCCGTTTTTGACATTGATGGATTCGGCGACGTCGGTGTTGAGCATTGCTGAGATCGTGGTGGGTGAATTGGGGAAAATGATGGGGAAGGTGGCGGAATAGAGTGTTCTCGCATTTGAATATTTTATGATAGCAATTCTTCTCTCCAAAGTGATGCAGCAATCTTGAATTTAACGACTGAACTTCGAGGGTGAGAGAGCAGAATAGTGCATTCTCTCGATCGAACATATTATCCGAAGATCACACAACCGGTGTTATTTATTCCTGTTATAGCCGCGGTTTGGTAAGGAGCGGGGCAGAACAAGCAATTGAAGGGTGCACATATCTCAGCTATTGTTCCTTTTTGATATGATGATATCACAAAGCGGGGACAATGGACGACTGGCTGCTGTTGATGATATGATCCTGGTGGCAGGTCGTTACCGGTCACTACTGTGATAACTTCGCTGGCTTTTTTCTCTTTTTTTTTTTTTTTTTTTTTTGGCTTTGACAGTCCCAAATCATTATCGGGTTTCTTCTATTGGACATTCGTGTAGGCAACACCGCATTGCCAAAATACCTACAAAGTAAGGATTTCTATTCCTTAACAGCCCATTGGCCTTCTTCTTGTCTCAGAAGATCTGCTGACAAGTACTTGCCTGACTCATTGTGACAAGGGCTGAATGTTGGGATACTCACAATATCAATCATTTGAGGCATGTTGTACAGACGCCACTAGCCTACGACTAGATGCAGCAGACTCACCCTTGGGCACCAGCCTGCTCGAGCTATCAAATTACTCATGACTTCACTGCTTCACTGCTTCCCAGCATCCCTATTCCCATTCGCCCAGGATCCAGGGGAAAGGGTGTTGCACAATGGAGGTGTTCACTCTTCCGCAAGTAGTGCTACTTGTTGCTCTTCAACAAGCTATCAAACTGCAAAAGGCACCTTTATTACACCATCAGATCCTATCACATTACATGCCCAGGACTTATTTGAGGACTCATCCAGTTAGTTAATTCCTTCACTGCTCAATTTTCCTCATTACACGTGGAGAATTGTGATAAACTTCATCAGCATGTACATACATTCCCTACTATGGGTGTGTTATGTTAACCGGGTCGAAATGTATAAAAACTGTCAACTTTCACCATGCTCTACCAGAATAATCAATCTGGCTTAAAGTACGGTCGAACTGAAATACACTATCATGAAGACCTTTTCCGTTCTGTTCACCCTTGGCTGTCTATCTGGCTGCCGCCCAACAATGTGTATGAAGTTTATCCGCTTAGGCCATCTTGATTACACGGAGCTAACTTCGTTGTAGCCAGGAAATTCTGAGTGCACTAACTGTGGTTCGGCATGTCCCCTCTCATGCATGCCTAGATCGGATGATGATGTCTATACTCTTGGATGTGTGCAGACGTGTCCGTGTATCCAAGGTTATGTCTTGAATATGTGAGTCCCCCACCATTGTGATACATCATCTTAGCTAACATTGTCCAGGCTGGTCAAGGCGTTCTTATCTCACACTGTTAGAAGCTGAGCGCATACATGGCTATGGTAGTTGATTTAGGCTAGTTGTCAGCTTCTATTATCCGGAGTAGTTGCTGTATTGATTAGCTAACTGTGTGATCCGATTTTGCATTTCTTGAGCTGGCCCGAATATTCTAGAAGGAATTAAGACAATATCTGCATGTTCAGGTGCGTGGTGGGCTGAGCAGGCGAAGAGTGTTGCACAAAAGGCACTAGAGACCCAGTTGAGTGCCAGGAGAAGGTGCAATATATGCATGTATTGTTTGCAATTGTGCAGTCCACTAGGTTTTGGTCAGTTACCCATCACTCGTTTGTCGATATATCAAGAGCCCAATTATTTCTGAATCTGAACATTTAAAATGACTGTATGTAATTAATCAAATAAAGGGGGCTGAGATCGGTCATCAGTCTGGTAGGCAAATGGGAAGCAGGGCTGCTTGCTGATCAGCAATCTTACAGGGTGGCTAAGATATGTGGCATGGTTTAAGTAGTAAGAAGCGCTTCTGCCAAGGAGAAGCAGTAGACACCATTTTTTCGGCTTCGGCTTTGACCACTCACAATATATTTCTGGTATGAAGCTGGCAGTCATATATAATTCAGGAAGTCAGATGTCCTGTGCATGCACACTGTTGAAATCGCTCACTTCTCCACTATTTAGCTTTGGAATAGTGCGAAAGGTTTGTCAATGATATCGATATGCAAAGATACCATAGACGCTACCAGATTTTTCTGGAGGAATAATAAGAGATGCATCATGCCACACCCTCCGCCTACCTTACACAAGACCCATAAACCATCATGAAGGCATTTTCACTCCTCTTTGCCCTTAGCCTTCTGGGCACTCCGCTCCTGGCTGCAGCCGATGAATTTTGTGTATGACCCAGATACTCTCATACCATGTCAATTACAAGGCTAACAATTTTTATCCAGGGAACGAATCAAGAATATTTGGAATGTGGTAGAAGCTGTCCAACATGTTCTAACCCGAATCCACCCTGCCGTCTTGAATGCGTCATGGGCTGTCAATGCATGCGTGGATACGTCCTGAACGATGTGGGTGTTATAGTACTATTGTTGGGTTTACTCTCAGCTAACATAGCTCCAGGCCGAAGAGTGTGTTCTTCCGACGGACTGTTGAGATCTATGGGTATGACTAGCGATGCTAGCACAGTTATATCACTCCAATCAGGTCTAGTCGATAGAGAATGCAAATATGATTGGATTAGTTTCCTATTGCAATAAATAATATTTCGATGCTGCTCGTAGTACCTTCAAGGTTAATATCACGAAATAAGGTACGATTACACCCTGTGATCACACATTCAACTCTTGAATATCAGTCTGTGAGATGGTATAAGTGCCGGTGTCAGGTTGCCAATGAAATGATGAATGAGGCAGGGGCTGCCGCAATTTTAAAGATTAGCATGCGTTGCTCGGGTAGTAAAAGATTTCCGGGACATCGTACCAGCCGGATATATTTTCCGAGGAATGCTTGCAAAACGTTTAATACCTGTCTGTGTTACACTTGTCCGCCTCTCGTAGAAGCCAAACTATGACGAGCATAACTAAGTTACGAAGAGTCTCTAACCGCTTACCTGTTGTGACTTGTCCATAGTAGCCAAGGATTATACCAGGTGAGATAGTTTGTCGTTTGTTGTGAGGTTAATTGAATGAACTGCCTCTTAGCGAACTTTCCCTACTGAAACCATATCTCCCGTAACTATGAGAAATTGGGAATTTTATTCACATTTCTAGATGTTATGATAAGCACTGTACCTCCCTATGTTCATTTTATATCTCTTAGATGAAAACGCACGTTGATAAAATATGTTTTGAGCTCTGAAAGAAGATCGCTTGGGGCAATGCTCTCACCTCATTCTCATTTTCCCCCGGAATATTGACCCATGCCACCACTTAAGTATATGCACACTTCACCTCCCGAGCTGTTGCCAGTTGCCACAGAGCAAAGGTGGCGCTAATTCGGACTAGACTACGGCTGTCTCAAAAATCAGATTTGTTGGATGCCCGCTAATACCCGGCGTACTAGAGCGGAAAAGGAAGGCGACATAAGTCTCCAAAGTGAAATTACACTGTAACGAATTTTTAGATACTAATTCAAAGTGCAGATGGATAGATAGTAGATAGAATTCCCTCAATCCTATGTAGGATTGTAGTAATCCCCTCTTAATGGCTCCTCTTCCACAAGATGACATCCAATCTTACTAGCAATTTCCAGACGTCGATCCCCCGTTATCTCTTTCGCATCAGATGACTATCTATTTTCGGCGAAGCCTTCCTTCCGATAACTATGAATCGCGGTCAAACCCGTCAAACCTGCCAGCCAACGTAAATTGAACTGCAATTAGCTGGGTATGCCGGCATGTCAGGGCAGTGTGTGATAGCTCTTATCCCGTGCATGCATGGGTACCCCTCTCCGATTAATTAAACACCCGTCAGGTGTCCGCACTCACATGGCGCCATCAACATCTAAAAGCAAGACATTTAATCATCCTTCACTAAACTTTGGATATTATTGGTCGCAATGGTGGATAAGATACATTTAGTTACATAACTGAATATTTACCATGGTCTGATAAGGGTCTGTTCTCCTCACGGAAGTGAGGCGTTGCTAGTTCCCGCGCCCTAATATGAATTGAATGCCGAAAGGATGCAACCTCGTCGGAGTGTGTACGGAGTTGCGTCGGAGGCTATCCAGCATAAAGAGGAGGTTGCCGGTATATGTTGGTCACCAGTACTCTTGCACAGAAGAAGAGTACAGACGGGATAAGGAGTCAGTATGAGGTTCTTCTCGACACTTTGCAGTGTGACCCTCGCGGCCTCTGCACTGGCCTTGCCAACCTCCGATCATGTCATTCATGAGAAGCGATCTGGTACACCATCAAAATGGGAGAAGATTGGGCGGGTCAATGGCACTGAGCATGTTTTGGTGCGCATTGGTCTGACGCAGAGCAATCTTGATCGCGCATATGAGTATCTCATGAGCGTGTATGTTGCTTCCCTGCCCCCTGTACTATTCCGACTAACTAGTCAGGTCGGACTCCGTGTCGCCTAACTACGGCAAATTTTGGACTCAAGAAGAGGTGCACAGCGCCTTTGCACCGTCAAATGAGACTGTTGATGCGGTGCGAAACTGGCTTATTGAATCCGGTGTGGACGAGTCTCGTCTGATCCACACCCAAAACAAAGGCTGGATTGTGTTTGATGCAACTACCAAAGAGGCAGAAAGCCTCCTACACACCAAGTATTATCACTACACCGACAAGGTCTCCGGTTTCAGAACTCTAGCAGCGGAAGAGTATGCCTCCCACTCAGGTACCCAAGACAAATTGTATAATAACACACAACCAGGTACCGCGTGCCGCAGAAGATCCAACAACATATTGACTTCGTTAAGCCTGGTGTTCTTCTGCCATTAACCTCCAAGGGGCCATCTGCCAAGCACACTAAGAAGTACAAGCCCTTGAAGCAGACATCAGTCAACGCGACGTCTCTCAGCACTTGCGATGAGGTTATCACTCCCGCTTGTGTTGCCGCTCTGTACAAAATTCCTCATTCAAGCGGCAACGTCAGCGCCAGCAACTCGCTCGGAATCTTCGAAGAAGGAGACTACTACGCCCAGGAAGATCTTGATCTCTTTTTCCGTAATTTCACTCCGTACATTCCGAAAGGGACACACCCTAAGCCGGCATTTATCGATGGAGCGTCAGCGCCTGTTCCTGTCGCTGATGCTGGTGCGGAGTCTGATTTGGACTTTCAGCTCGCGTATCCAATTGTCTATCCTCAGACCATTACGCTCTATCAGACAGATGACTATAACTATGCCAGTGGGGAGATTGAGACGGATGGCTTCTTTAACACTTTCCTTGATGCCGTTGATGGGGTAAGTTTGCCTACTCAATGTTTCAGAATATGAGCTGATGATCAAGTCTTATTGTACCTACTGTGCCTATGGAGAATGTGGAGACAGCCCGACCCTTGATCCAACCTATCCGGACAATTCCACCGGTGGTTACAAGGGGCAGTTGATGTGTGGTGTTTACAAGCCGACGAACGTCATCTCCGTCTCTTACGGTGGCCAGGAGGCGGACCTCCCTGCTTATTATCAGCAAAGGCAATGCAACGAGTATAACTCACACACTTCTTATTATACATACTTTGGCTGACACCAATAATAGATTCTTAAAACTCGGGCTTCAAGGAACTTCCATCCTCTTCGCATCTGGCGATGACGGCGTCGCAGGACCCCCAGGTGATGACTCGACCAACGGCTGTCTCGGAAACGGGACCATCTTCAGTCCCGCATTCCCTAACTCGTATGAACGCATTTGTACTATTTGATAGCCATTTCTAATGTTTCTAGTTGCCCCTACGTGACCAACGTCGGCGCCACGAAGCTTTACCCGGGAAAGACCATCGCAGACGGGGAAAGCGCCGTCGTCGACCCGATCGGCCACCCTTACTCGATCGCGTACTCCTCCGGCGGTGGCTTCAGCAACATCTACACTATTCCAGACTACCAAGCCGAAGCAGTGGCAGAGTAAGTCCTTCCGACCTGAAGCTCACTCCAGTCTAACAAAACTTAGGTACTTCAAAAACCACAACCCGCCCTACCCCTATTACGAAGGCAACGCCAGCTTCGGCAAAAACGGCGGAATCTATAACCGCCTGGGACGTGGGTACCCTGACGTCGCAGCGAACGGCGACAACATCGCCGAATACAACGCGGGAGAATTTATCCTCGAGGGTGGAACAAGTGCTAGTGCGTTACTACCCTGCCCCATCCACATCCACCAATCTCCGTCTTATTCCAATCACTAATGACAATTACACAAAGGCACTCCGATCTTCTCCTCCGTGATTAACCGCATTATCGAGAAGCGTATCGCGGCAGGAAAGGGCCCACTGGGCTTCTTGAACCCGGTCCTGTACCGGAATGCGTGGGCGTTGAACGATATCACGAATGGATCGAACCCGGGCTGTGGGACGGAAGGGTTCTATACTGCTCCTGGGTATGAAGTTCTTTTCCTTTCTTTATCTTCATGCTTCAATCTATGAACAATATGCTAACAGTCGGTGAAAAAAGATGGGACCCCGTCAGCGGTCTTGGAACGCCTAACTTCCCGAAATTGCTGGACGTGTTCCTGAACCTACCGTAACGGGGGATTCGACCTTGTTCGGAGGAAAGAAAGTGAGGCAAGATTGATAACTGATTAGCAATGTGAGACATTTCGTCAAGGAACCCCGCAGTGGTGTTGGTCACATCCCGTGCATCCTGCAGACGGCTGCTTATCGTGTCACCGGGGTTCCGACGCAGGTCCGTCGGGGATGTTCCTGCCAAGATATGTGATCCTGTTCCTGATGCTTACTTTTTCTTATCGGGAATTATATTGGCACGGACCAATTATTTGGCGTTATTGATATTTTTTGGAAAGCAGAAATTACTTTGTAGATCGCTCATTTGATGCTATAGGGGGAAGTGATTGACTAGGGTTGGGTTTGTGTTGATAAGGGGTTCTAACCAGGTAAAACAACCTGCCAGTAGGACCCTTCTTCACAAGAAACAGATATGAATATACAAAATGTGAATAGTTAGTCAATCAAGACTTTTCAAGAGACCACTTCTACGCAGAAAGGTTACGGTCAATGCACGGTCGCAGAGTCCTCACGCAGGCCTGTTACTACTAGACCCAGCTAGAGTGTCGGATTGAACTGCATAGCAAGATTAAGATCTATGACAGGACAGAGAGATACGTAGCATGGGGAGTTGGGCACACGATTACAATGCCAAGTAAATCCCTCCGACTACACAATATATGCAATAGTGTCACAGGGGTGTTAGTAGTCTCCATAGACTGCGGGATATACACGGTACAGCGGATAGTGGGAGAGCAGAAATCTCCGAAAAGAAGAATGCAGTAGTAATTCGAAGACCAGACCCTCTAAAGACACTCTTCTTATGTCGGCGTCACTCACTCAATAGTAAGGCAAATCCTGGAAGGGAATATTGGTCGTCAACTTAATCCATGGTTATGGACCAAATAAGCAAGTGGGTCGCCCCTTCAGCGAGTGAGTTTCGCGCATCCGAGCAGGAAAAGTGGAGATGAAAAATTCCACGACATCGATCTGGCCGTGCTTAACACATCCATTTTCATACTCACTAGTAATCATCAACTCTCAGAATATACAAAATGTCTGCTTCGGTTAGTACTTGCTACTTTTAGGTGAATTACTCCTTGTCATAGACTCGACCTGATTATGTAGGAATCCAAGGGAACCCAGGGCTTTTACGATGAGCTGAAGGCTCTCTTCCAGCAGGCGGTAAGTCGTGCCTAAAATTATCTGGGTTATTAGACACTAACAAGGAATTTAGGATAAATCCGGCGAAGGTAAATACCACATCTAACATGCTAATTAGTGGCTTCTCAATACTAATGCTGCATGTATTTGCATAGGAAAGCTCGCTCTTCCCGAGTTCAAGAACGCCGTGAAAGGCAGCAGCAGCGGCAGCCAACTGAACGATATGCAGTTGGAGGCCATGTTCAACTTCTATGATGAAGACAAGACTGGATTTGTCTCATTTGAGAGTATGCGAAGTCCACATTCCCCTTTACTTGTGGTTGGTATCATGTCTGGGCTAATGCGTTGTCGCGTAGGTGTGTGGAAGAAGATGAACAGTATGATGAAATGAGGGCCACGCTTGATGTATGGCGATTGTATGTGAGTTAAGAGATTGTCTCTACGCACTGAGGAATTCTACAGTGGACTCTAGCGAGGATATGTGGAATGATCAAGTACTGTATTGTAAAGCCTGCGTAAATCATGTTGGGCCGTACCGCGGTTAATCAAAAGTCATGGTAGATATAATTATGATGGCATATGGTGTCTGAGCTGCCAAACAGTTGACGAATTATTCCTTCTCTTGTGTCATAGAAACCGTCATGATGTCTTCAAGACTCCTCGAATCTACGCGCTGATTTGACATTTCGATGTCACTATGAACAAGACTTTCCCGTTTCTACTTCTAGTCTCCGCTATAGCCTACATTGCCAAGTACAACTCTCTTAACATCTTTATCAATCAGAAATATCAGCCAACATCCACCATGAGCGCTTCACCCTTTGGTCATTTCATCTTTTTGCCAAGCGAAATACGCTTACTCATCTGGGAGAATCTTGTTAAGGAGGGCTCCCTTGCGATCCTTCGAACCAGTCAGGCAATCTATCACGATATAGCCGATCGTCTTTACGATACATTTGACATCCATCTTTTCCCAACTTTCGAAGATCCGTGGATCGAGATTCGCTGTAAACTACTACGTGTGAAGTGGGTGATCGGAAGACGAGATTATAACAAATTCAGTAATCTGGCAAGGGTACCGTACGATAAAGTTGAACTTGTTGTTCACATATATGCGCCTGAACCTGAAGACTGCGGCCAATTTATCTTGCTCTGGGAAAAAACATCGAAACTAACTCAAATGCTGTGCACTATCGACGACTCGAGAAAGTACCGTGATCGGGAAAACCCACACTCCAAATATTGGAGTGGGCTTGTGTACGAGGGATCACATCAATTTGGATCTACTCCAGAGGCTGTTCTATCTATGGTGATTCGCCTACGCAAGCAAAATGGCGTTGACTGGATCAGGAACGGCCAAGTTAACTCGATCTTTTGCAATAACGGACTTGGATACGACTTCAACGAAGTTTTATTGCCGTTTTGTCGTCTATCCCGCGTTAGAAGGTTTGGGATCGTTCCGGACACAGAAGAAATGACTTTAGCAGCTGACTGGGCGTTTGCCAATTATGCAACTGCAATTATCGTGTCAGAAGGTTTTGTCACCTCTAACAACGCAGTCTACAGTCAAGACCCCGGATACGGAGATATAGTCCATACCTTCGATGGTATAGCGGGCCTGCTGAACCACAGAGACGACTCTTTCACTCTCTGGGTGGATGATCGGTTCCTTCAGGTACCCGGGCGTACTGTATCACTCATGCGCCATGAGCAGCACATTTACCTTGTCGACGCAATGATGCATAGGGCATGAAGCCCAGAGAAGAATCACTACGCCATATGAGGCCTGTATTCCTTCTTCGCAGTCTTAGGGCGACCGACTTACTGAACAAACTCGGACAGGAGGATTTAGTCCCTTCTGGCTTCTCATGTGTATTTATCTATAACTGATGGAGTTGATTATCTGACTGTTAGACATGCGGTGTATTTGTCCCTACTGGAAGGCTGACTTTGAGCAAGATATTCGACCTTTTCAGGCGCACAAATGTGGGCAACTACTAATGAGCGAGAGTCACCGGATAGGTGCCCATGCTTTGCTTCGTTTTTTGGGGCTCCTGTTCGCACTATTAGAAACATTTAGATAGCAAGGACCTGATACGGGTTTGACTACAACTATGCTAGAGTCAATATTAATTTGCTTATTTTGCTCATAAGTTATGGTATGATTAGGTACAGATGTTGCGAATCCACATCTTCCCGGTACTATCTGTTAGTAGTGTCTACACTCATGTACATACAGGACGTGGTGAGCAGTATTCTGCAAATCCGGTTATTCTTTCCCAGTTTCGTCTCAGCACCAGTTCATGACTTCGGACTTTCCACGCCCTCATCGCACCTTCTGTCTCATCACAATGCTACGCAGATAAACATGTCCTTTTCGCCGCACTTTCTCGCCTTCATTTCTTTCACTAACCATCTATGTCTCAACTCACTTTATCTCCGGCTCAATTTATCCTCGTTGACCTCACCAGGCGGGCTGCATAAATTACCCGCTATTTCCTCAGCTGTTCGGCTATTATTTGTGCATTTCATCTCTTACATCTTGTTCTCTCAATCACTATTACTCGTCCATTGTTTATCCCATCATTGAATCATCACTGTCCCTCCACAAAGGTCCATATTGTCCTTCCTATTTGTTATTCCATTCTTCGACATCACACCTCGGCCCATGCTAATAGCTCCGTACCTGCCAAGCATCGGATGTGTGTGTGTGTTAGGATACCGTCTAAGCGTCCGCATACCCCGCGGTATGGTGCTTCAACTAGTCTGGGGCCTCCAAAAGGTGGTGAAGATCTCACGACAACGACTTTTTCAAACTTGGACACTACGATGGGAAGGGGGAGGGAATCTTCAACTTTCTCCGTGAGGCTACTTCCATCCTGAGTCATCGCCCGCTGATAAGGATGGGTCGGCATCGGGACGAAATCCTCGAACTATCGTGCGACTCGTGGAAGGCTGGCCCCATCACCAAGGTCATGGCACCGAATATGGCGAGAAACGAGTCTGTATTGGAGAGTTGGGGACCCGGATATCTCATCACGCCCGAGAATAAGGAGCTCGATTTGGATAGGCTTCGGTTCCGCGCGATCTTGCCAGTGTCAACACTCCATTTGCAAGATGATGGACAACTGCCGAGCAAGTCAAGCTCCTTGGCTGCCAACAGTCAGCGTACCTATGCCTTTCAAGGCCCGCTCACAGGCCTTAGCCCCTGCTCGCATGTGGTAGGCTTAGGTGCGTATGTTTCGCCATATAGTGTTATCTACTTCCCTACTTACCCCCAGCGATGAGCTTGCACCTTAACGTGGTGCTGGAGTCCAGTAGTCTCCAGTTTATGGGATGAAGCCAAGACAAGCTCGCATGTATGAAGGTTTCTAGGGGAGAAAATTAGGATTGCGTCTTATGGTTTGGTGATTTACTTTGTTGAGCAGACTTCATCAATAGAGCTTTACTAGTATTGCCGATACATATATAACATGCTGGTGGTCGCTGGCTTCATGACCATTTATTGCGTAGCTAGTCACGACGATCAACAACCGTCGTTATGCTAAACTAATGCGAATATCATATTTCTGATCTCCAGACCATGTGCGATCGAGTATTTGCTTAGCAATGTACCTAAATTTGATGCCTTAGATATCAGTAGGGCTAAAAGGCAACCTTGCCGCATGTCGGAATTCACGCCGAGAATGTGATCATCCTTGGTTGCCCCGTCCGAGCATTAAGCCTTGCTTAGCCGCCAGAGCGGCCAATTATCAGCAATTAGCCGATAATCCCTTGCCCGCCAGGCCAATAGAACGTCTATATCTTATCCTGCGCTGTTCGATTCCCCGCTCGCTGGCTCCCCGGGTCCTTCAAGCTTATGAATGACCACTTCCGCCTGCCTGCCTGCTTCTTATCAGTCATCTTCCCTCGTTTCCCCCATAGGCACCCATATATCTTCATTTCTGTTTCGGTTCTACTAGAAATTGTATGCGGTCACCATGGGTGCCAGTTATTCCAAGCCAGAGCCCATAAGCCATAGCGAGGAAAAGCGCTCGCACCGCGAGTGGGTTGAAGATGACGACACTTGTTCTCTGCCACTCTATACAAAGGAGTCAACCCAGCCTCGTACGATAGCGCCCGCTTCTGTCTTAGATAGGACATATGCTGATAATCACAGCACCACCATACCATGTGCGCGAACGCACTTCCACTCTCTCCCTCCAGCACGTCCAAGACTGGAACGAGACCTTACTGGGCAATGCCAAGGCAAGTGTAGCAACCGGACCAGCTCTCTCATTCGTAACCAAACTAACTCTGTTCATGGATAACAACAGAACCGTCTCGCCATATCTAGTCTCGCCAGCCAACCCTACACAGAAGTGCTAGCCAACCGCCCCGCTCTCCAATCTGACCTCCACATCTTCAACATCAAAGTTCCCATCGAAGGCTCCCCGATCACGAACCAGCGATCCTCCGGCCGATGCTGGCTCTTCGCATCGACTAACGTATACCGAGTGCCGTTGATGAAGGCGTATAACCTGAAGGACTTTGAGCTGAGCCAAGCATACCTATTTTACTGGGACAAGCTGGAGAAGGCGAACTGGTTCTTCGAGCAGATTATCACCACTGCTGACGAGGACCTTTCCGGTCGTCTGGTCCAGAAACTCCTCGAAGACCCCGTCAGTGATGGCGGCCAGTGGGACATGGTCGTCAACTTGATTGAGAAGTATGGTCTCGTCCCGCATGATCTGTATCCGGATGCATATCATGCGCAGAATAGCTCCAAGATGAATTGGTTGCTCACGGCTAAGATGCGTGAGCAGGCGCTTGTGTTGAGACGGCTGGTGCGGAGTGGTGATGCGGCCGGCTTGGCGGATGCTAAGGAGCGGTTCTTGAAGGAGATCCACTCAATGGTTACTCTTCTGCTGGGGCCCCCACCTAGTCCTGATGAGACGTTTGAGTGGCAGTAATATGATGCTGAGGGGAAGTCTAAAGAGATTAGACTCACCCCACGGGAGTTTGCTCGTCAAGCCACGAGCCTGGGAGTTGTGAAAAAGGGCAGCGTCGCTCCTGCGCGCCTGTTCAGCCTGGTCAATGATCCGCGCAATGAGTATAACCGACTTTTGACAGTGGAGAGGCTAGGAAATGTGCTGGAAGGACGACCACTCACGTATGCCAATGTGGAGATGAAAGTATGTGAACATATCATCTTCTCTGATTTCCTCTCACTAACACGCTGCTATTATAGGTCCTCAAGAAAGCGGTCATCTCAATGCTCAAAGCTGGTCACCCTGTGTTCTTCGGTTGTGACGTAGGCAAATTCAGCAACAGTGCACTAGGAATCATGGATCTCGACATTATGGACCTCACCCTGGGATTCAATATCTCCTTGGGAATGAGCAAAGCCCAGAGGCTTGTGAGCGGAGAATCAGCAATGACCCATGCCATGGTCATCACAGGTGTGCATATCGAAGATGGAAAGCCAGTGCGCTGGCGTGTCGAGAATTCGTGGGGCGAAGCTGCTGGCGATAAGGGCTGGTTTGTGATGACAGATCGCTGGATGGATGAATATACCCTTCAGGCCGTGGTGGACTCAGACTTCGTTTCGAGTGAAGTGCGCGCAATTTTAGACCAGAGTCCGAAGGTCTTGCCCAGGTGGGACCCGATGGGCGTGTTGGCTTGAACTTGCTATTCCTAGTATTCAGTGCGGCGCAATGACAAATCGTTACATCAAATTAATGTTCTGATCTATGATACTGATATCCCGCAGAAAGCGTGAATAGAGGCAGGTAACTGGTGAGAGTGACGGCTAAGCGATGATAGTGACGGCTAAGTGATGAAAACGACGGGAAATTATCGAATATCCTTTCAGGCTAAACATAGCGTCTAACTAATAATATTCAAATTTTATCGTAGTACAGGACAAACAGCCTGAGCCGATGAGCGTCGGATGTACAGTTCGAGTGAATGATTGTTTTCTGAGCAATACTCCTCCCCAACAAATTCGAGGTATCTAGGTGCAGTGCAGTCAATCTATAGCACTTTAGCGCCAGTCTACTCCGTGAAGATGATATCAAGTGGATCACTTACGTCTCCCGTCTTTACTTCACGTAGCATCAATCAATGCAAATTGGAATTCAAATTATGTTGATGGCGCAGTGCGTAGGTGAATCCAACATCAAGACAAATTTCTTGGCTATTTAAACTCGCAAGTTCCTAGAGAGCTTTCTCGGGACATTCCACTCTCTACAACATCTTTCAAGAGACTACCATGCCTCCATTATAGGATATACGAACGGAACTTTCCCATATTTGACTTCAAACTCACGGCAAACGCCATATCCTAGACCGGTCCAAGAACTATAAGAGGCGCCACCATCTTATCCTCTGTTGCTCCTCATTCCTTCTCTCCAATCAATACAGAGCAATACTATATACTCAAGTCATGAACTCATGAACAATCTCCCCATGCCATTGTCGGTTATTTCCAGGGCGACAATGGCGAGTAACCAAGCCTTGCAAGTCCACAGCTAGTGACGCATATCTCACTTCTTCGATTGCCAGAGACACTCCTTAAGCCCTTTGCTCTGTTGAGCTGGCATCGGAGATCGAACTGGATCTTTTGTCATAAATGACAATAATCTCGCTTCCTTCTCACAAGAAGAGCATGGTCCAGTCTCATGAGAAGAATGCAATATAGTCACCATGTCGTTCGAGCTTCCCGTTGGTAGATTTCTCTGAGAATGTGTTCTCGGCTATTCGACCAACATCTGGAAGTTAGATTAAGTGTTGTTCACTATATTGTCACTTATTGAAGATCTCGGCCATGCAGAAGAAGATGCGACGTGGTTCTGATTTTGCATGTCGTCTCAATTTCCAACTGAAGCGTTGCCTTTCTACTACCATCCTAATGGGAAGTCACAAAGTGACCTTCCGGGGTCTCTTTGGGGGCCACCACTACGGCAAATCGATTGTTGTCTACCATCCTGAGTATGAGACGATTTACACAGAGCGGTTTGACTTTGCAGGTTTTGTGAACTATATAACGCTAAACTATGTCGTCCGGCGTATGTTGCTACTCTGAGACCTCACAGAATACCTCCCAAGACCCACCGTCTGTTGAAACAATATATAACGGGTGCATTACAAAAACACTCAGGGATTAAGATGGGCTTGACGGCTATATTGACATTATATTCGGCTTTCCCATACCGTACACCCTAAAATTCAGACCACGTTTCGAGGTACATCTTGACCCTGTGTCATTGTGGTTTGTCCTTGACGACTACAGAGTTGCTTGTGTGGCCTCTGAGACCACACAGTTTATGATGTCTGGTCGCTAAAACACACAAGATTCTCGAAATGGTGGAAAAAATATTGCCTCGAGCTAGTCCTCACATCTATACTTGTTCTTCCACTCCCACTGAGAGACCACCCAGGTCATGATGCATGGTCGCCAAAACACACAAACTCTTGGAGCATTCTAAAAGATTTTGCCTCGGGAATGTCCTCGCACTTGGAGATGTTCTTCGGCACCCTCCAAGATACTGACTTTGCGAAGTACTGAAGAATCGGCTGACGACAGTGCACTTCGAGCACAAACATATTGCCTTGAGGTTGCATACCCACAAACCAGATTTGTCGAACGATAACACTCAATATATTTAAAATAGTATCTCACATCTCTTCCAAGTTAGTGTGAGCCTTACATATCACACATTCCTCGTCCCACTCTGAGTTCAGTGATGTGTCAAAGGAGATCCAATTCGGGTCAGTCGACATGTCGTTCAAGGAAGGAACGGCACAAAAGTTCTGCGAGTCGTTCAGAATGATGGAAATATATATTATGTCAACTCACATCGCTCCCGCTGATATTTTCCGATTCGCGATGGAAATGACTGAGCGGGCTTTACTGCAAAGCTTGCCTCTAGAAGCTGAAAAGGGCTTCATTTTGCGCCTGTTTCAATACACTAGCATATCAAACATGAGCAGGAGTATATATGGGCTATGGGATAAGTCATACATCTCATCTCCGGCCTTCCCCACTCAAAAGCCGTTTGGGCTGTTCCTACTGCTGGGAAGGTTGGTGCATGCATTTGAGAGGATGAACAAGTTCGTTCCTGCGCTCGTCTGACCTCTTTGTTGCGGGGTCCTGCACCCCAATGGTGACTGTGAAGTCACCTCTCAATCTGCGTCATTGCGCACTTCCTACGACTACAAGTTGTATCCTTCTCTAACCATCGCCTTGCATGAGGTGGTCTCATACAGTCGGGATTGTGGCGTAGCCACATCCACTCCTAGGATACGAAGACAAGATCATTGGTGGTGTCTTTGATATTGTTGCAATCGAGTCACCCCTATGATGCTGTTTGCCTTGTGGTGTCCTCCGAGCCACTTCCCGACATATAGATGTCTCATTGGCGTCGTCGCCCGAACGGCTATCCTGGGTGAACATACTCAAACAGTTCTGATGAGGCCGCTTTCTTTGGCTGTATGCAAGGTCTACAAGCGCACTGATGCTTGGGCTAGGGCTTTTGCGCATGATTAGTCTAGAAAACCTTTGCCTATCCCAATAACATGGATACTGATGAGCTCATTGACGCTGGCTGTTGCGCACTGACTCTCTTTGGATGTTCTTCCTTCCCAACAAGGAATCAAGGCTTGCCTCTCGACAATGACGGATATTTATTCTTCTTCTAAGCCGCCAAAAACAGAGTGGAATACCATGGCGTGGCCCAAAGTCCATTTACCGTTCACATTGGCTTCCACATTCTTCTTTACAACATGGAACACAAGCATCATTGGCTTCCTCCCTTGGCTTTCAGCTCGATATTGTTCATTTCACCCGCTCCTCGTTCTTTGGCGATATGCACTAGGCCAGCTACGCAGACATGCTATAGCTCCTCTTGCGCTTGCAATGTGAAATAATCGGCATCGGGGCAATATGGTATGGGCGCAGCCGTGCTACGAAGAGAGAATGTTCCCATCATTCGCCATACATCGTTATTCAAATTCGAAAGAGTGAAGGCCATCCACTGCCATGGTTCTAGGCCCTCTATTTGTACAGAGCTCCTCACCAGGACGATAGGCAAAGGGGAACAAACCTACTGGTGCCCATCCAACCATTTCACTACAAGCTCAACGAAGATAACATTGTCGGGACTGCATGACTGCTCCCTGCATAAACAGAAGCGCAACATGAAGGTTGCATCCAGAATTTTCAGAGTAGTAAAATGCAGAAGGACGATAAGGGAACTGCCGACCGCCGTAAAACAATGTGGTCGATATACGAGCACCATGGCTTTTTGACTTTATTGGTCGTCTACTCAATCATCCCTTTCAACCAGCTGGGGAAATATACCTTGGAGGTCTCGAACGGCAATCATGCTCATCCAGGGATGCAGAGGTCCGGTCAGATGTGAACGGGACGGATCATGGCATATGAATGTTCTCGAGTGACTCGGACGAGAACCATCGAAGCGTTCCGTCGCCTCATATGACCTGGATTTGGTTATTGGTGCTTCAGGATATCGAAACCAACTCTGAAGGAATTCGTTCCCTTCTGCTGCTTTGTTTACGCCGTATAGAAGCCTACCCAGGTCAATCTTCGGTTCGACGGACTTATGTCTACCTTTGTCTCTCTTTATGGTCTATTAGAGAAACGGTGGACATATCTCGAGTCCATGTATTTCATGTCTATAAATATTCACCTGCTTTGGTCCCAGGAGACGATTAAAAATCGCTCAGCGCAATTGCAACACCTTTCTATCACCAAGCAGGATCGGTGCCGCGTGCTGGCGTCAGCTAACGCAAGCATATGTTCTCATCTTCTTCCGGCCAAATCTGATACAAAGGCACCATTGCGACACTCAGGTCCTTACTCCATCACCAAGCAGGAATGGTTCTGGGTGTCGGAAAAACAGCCCAGGAAAAAACGAGTTTCTCTGGGGACCACGTTCCAGACCTACAGAACCAAGTAGATACGCCTGGTTTCAGTTGTGGTATCACAGGAGTGATCTTGTCCATGAAGATGGTTTCGATTTCTACTTTGTGGGTGTTCCTACCGTCTCTCAAGTGCGTGTCTACTATGAAGTTTTCGACCTACATTTTCAGACTCAATTTGCTCCTCCGGTTAGAGCAGATGCTTGTCAAACTAAATATTGAGGCTTCGCCTGCGAGAGCTTTTTACATTGGCCAAATTACATGATGAATCTTCCTGAAGCTCGGCTATCTCCATATATAACCACTCTCTGCTTGGGCCGAATGCAATGTTTGACATTTAATAGCGTGTTTTCAGGTCCAGAAACTTATCTCACCAGAAGGCCACTTGGTGTGAGCCTTTATCGACCTGTCCAGCATCGGTTGAGCCATTACAGAACAGCAACCTTATATACAATTCGATAAAATGCACGCATCTGCTCTTGTACAGCACGCTACTTCTAATGATTCCGGATCGATGCTATGGCTTAGTACCAGCCGAACATGCTTTTCATCTGGAGTCCGATGATGACTTCGATATCATTCGGGAAAGATGAATCTTCACGGTATATCGGCCTGTGTCAAGGTCCATACCACCGGCGAATTGCCCATCTCAATTTCAGCGACCACTAATGGGAACTGCTGCTGAGCGAGACTTAAACAGGATTAAATGAAACATGATGACGGTCTGAGGATACATTGCCTGCAGAGGTATGGGAAGTTGTTGGTTACT